CTTTTGAGAATGAAGTCAATATGGATATTGGTCTGTAATTAGAGATGCATTTTCTCTCTCCTTTTTTAAAAAGTGGTTTCATTACAGTGTATTTTAAGCGTTGAGGAAAAGTACCTGATGATAAAGATTTATTACATAGATGATTCAAGGGTGAACTGATGTAAACAGAGCTTGCTTTAAGTAATTTGGTAGAGATTTCATCATATCCATGTGAATTTTTGGGCTTAAGGGATTTAATAATGTTTTCAATTTCCTTCCTTGTTGAGAATTTGAGATTTATATTTGGAAATGAATTGTTAAAGGCACGTGACAGATAGTATATTGAGGCAAAGCTGCCGGTGCATGAAGCTGACCGGCGACTCACCTGTATATACTGCCAAAGTCAACAATTGTGGAACAGTCCCTCCACTCCCCCATATGTCTTCATGGCATTAGCTCATAATTAAGCAAGCACAGGTACAACTTTATCTTTATTATAAATTATTTAGGTGATAAATTAATGTATTTTTGAAATGGTTCCAGATGCAAAGAATTTTAAAACAGCAAAGAAAGCCATTAACTGAAATCCACTGTTAATCCACATCAATTGCTCATTGGATCTTCCAAGAATAAGTTGCAGGAGAGTTACTTTGATGCAAATTATATCAGGTCAAGTAAGAGTGGAAGCGCTTTATTCAATATTGTAATGCACAAAATTTCTAATGGCGATCCTTCTATTTTATTAAAATTACTTAAGGTTTTTATATAATGTTTGATTGGCAGCCGGTGATTCCATATATGACCTTAACTGAACTTTATTATGGGATTAATATGGCTGAGAATCTGAACTTGCAAATTAATTTCTTGTAAAAGTCTCCATTTTCTCCCTCCTTCCCTTTTTATTCTTTCAAAATCTGTCTAACTCTTCAGATGCTGATATTAGGTCGCAAGTATTCAGACTTTCAACACATTGTCCTGATATCGAGTTGCATGGAATGAGACAGCAAAAGAATTTATTTTTCTTTTACTATTTGGAGATCTGAAGAAATACGCTGAACATAACTTGTGTGTTTAATTTTTTCTACCATTTTTTCTTAAGTCACCTCTTGATGAGAATCATGGACTCAGTGATGCTAACATGCGCGTTGCCAGCAATGTCGCCTGTGGTGATGTAACAGCAGAGCAGCTGTGTTAGGCAACCACTTTCCACTGTGACGTAACAGTGGACGTGGCTGTTACCAAGTGGCAACGGGGAACAGTATAAGAAGCCAACTGAGCAGTGTGTGACCAGCCAGTGTGCAGTGGGCGCCAGTAGAAGCCAGCACGGAGAGTTCGACAGTTCTACACTATATTGAGAGTTGTTACGAAGGGCGCTCCATATATAATGCCTCTTATTTTTTTGTGTTAATCTGTAACATCTGAGCATGCAAGGTATCAATGGTCAACAGTTCATTTCTATGTTAATTTCAAATTTTGTAATTGTGTATAAGTCTAATGCCTGCAAAACTTTCTTTGTATAGAGAGAAAGAATCAGGCATTGAATTTCTCTTTGATAGCCCAAATTATGTAAGACACAAGGAAGTGATTTGCCCAGTGAATCTTGAAATTTGTGCCCCTAAGGTTTTTTGGCGGTTGCTAATGAATTTAACTACGATTGTTTTTGCACATGGTTATTTTGTCATGATTATTACTTATCATTTTCTTTGTTGAGATTTTACGTAATGTGATCAAATAAAGGATGATGAGATAGGAAGGGCTTGTAGCACACCTGGGGGAAAGAGGAGTCAATCTAGGATTTGTTGGGAAAGCAGAAGGGAAGAGACCACTAGGAAGATGTCAATATATGTGGGAGGATAATATTAAAACGGATCTTAGGGAGATAGAATGGAGTGGTATGGACTGGTCTGATATGGGTCAGAATAGGGACAGATGAAAGGCTCTTGTCAACATTGTAATGAACATTTGGGTTCCATGAAATGTTTGGAAATTCTTGAGTAGCTGAGTGACTGGCCACTTGCCAAGAAGGATTCGGCTCCAAATTCAGGATACTTGATTATCAGATCGAGATTCAAAGCAGAATAACAAGTGAGATTGATCAACAGTTTTGATATCAGGTGGCAGCATATAACACTGCGAAGCAGATTTCTAAGTTGAAGCTACAGGAATCACTTTGAGGGAATGTAACCTCTGTGGGCTATGTTCACACTGTTGTACACACATGAGAGGTCTCAAGGTCTCTTACACTTTATGTAACCCTTGCAGCAAAGCATTCTCAAAATGAATGTGAATCTGCTAGTTTATAACCTTCTAATATAAATTTGATTTTTTATGAATGTGGCACATTCAGACACTGTGTATCACATATCATAGCCAAAATACAATGTTTTTTTTTTTTAAGAAGTACAGCTGAGAAACCAGTGTGAGTGCCTTGAATTTGTTGATATGCTGTTTTTAACATCTGCAGTAATAATCTTGTTTGTTCATGAATTCTGTCAGTTTGCTGTTTAATTGAATGATTTTGTGCCTGGCATAATTCTTCTGATTTCACCACTAGTATGGTGGTGTTTGCACGCAAATAAACACGAATTGAATTGAATTATTATTAATGAGGCTCTCTGTTTCTTTGATGAGTGTCACACCAACTTTGACAAGAGTCTTCCTTAAAGACTACATTGCAAACTGTAGAAGCAGTGTTGTCTTTATTTCTTGCTCTCTCTCTCTCTCTCTCTTATCTGGGAGGATCTCAATCCCTGACACTCCACTTGCTGCAGAACCTGCATTCAGTACCTCTTTGTGACAGATATCACAGAGCTCCTACTCTAGTTCCAAACTGAGCAGTTTATGGTCATCCATGGAAACACATTTTGTAGATTGTTTTGGAACTTTGCCATGATTAAACAGTATAGCACATAATGATAGCAAAATGTCTAAAATTAAAGCAGATGTTTAACTCTTGTTACAAAGAAATGACAGATTTGAGTATGTGACAGTTGTGTTCTTCTGGGGTGTGATGCCGTGTAATCTGGCAGACATGTACTACCGCTTCAGAGAAACATGCTGACCCCATCTTCAGCACTGAAGTATAAGCTTGCTGCTTGCTTGGCTTTCATTTTGACTCTGGAAATGGGGGCAGTTTGTTCCTCTAAAACGTTTGTAAATTTCTACCACATTTCATAGAATCACAACTCAGAATACAGTACTCTTCACAGCATTCTTCAAATAAAAACTTGTCACTAAAAATGTAACTGAATACTTAAGATTAACTGTTCTTTAGCTGTGTGATCTAAGAGAAGCCAAGGAACTAGCCAGTGCTCGATCAGATGAGTAGCTGCAAGGGTTCTGTTTTGCCAGAGTGCACCAGGGATGTTTTTTACAGTCAGCAACCAGATTTCTTTAGCACACTTAGTAGATCTGTTTAGATAAAGCATAATATAAGTTTCTAGGTTAAATGAGTCTTGAAATTTCATAAATTTGCCTGAACTCTCATATTTATTATATGTATATAAAGAAGAATAATAAATTCATAATTAAAACCCCACAAACAGTTTGTCCTGTTTTTTATATTTAGGTTTAACTGTTACCTTTGAACACAATTAGTCACTGCTTTATAATAAAGTTTGTAGTTTTACTGAAAATTTATGATCATGATTTACTTGTTTGATTATCTTAACACCTGCAAATACATGTGATCACACTACATCGATAGATTTATGATTTTATACTAATGACCGGTCCAAGTTGAAGTTGGGTTTATGTTAGAGCGCAATAATATGCATTTTAATCTTAAGGATCATATTTTGAGAAATTCATGGTTGAAGGTGAAGTGTGATCATCTTGAAAAGTTTCTGTTTTCTCTGAACATAGTGTGATGTCATTGAGATTGTTATTCAGTTTCTTTTAAAATGAGAGTTAACTTGTTGATTTGAGGATGTCACAGTGGTGACTAAAGAATAGTGTATTCTAGGTTTTAATGCTGTGTAATTTGAAGTCCACCAACGTTTCAGAGGAACATATTGTCTCCATCTTCAGGGTCAAAGAAAAAGCCAAAATTAAATAGCAAGCATAGTGAACCAGGCATGATATAGGCCAGAAAGGAACAGTGAGAGAGCCGGTGGGAGGATGACCATGATCTCTCTAAGGTGCCAAGGAGTATATAATTTTGTTTGGCTCTTAAAATGGTCCTTATTTTACAAATTGAAACGGTACAAGTCTGGAGAGAAGCAGTACGCATGTCTAAACATATGTTGAGGAAGGGCTTGTCTGTTAATGTTATTGGGGTGGATCTCCATCTCATTTGCCTCCTGATAATACAATCCATGTATCTGGATTTGGCACAGAGGATACTGGTGTCTTCGAGCCGAATGCAGTGTCCCAAGTTTATTCTGTGCCCTGCCACAGCTTGCTTATCTATAGTAACCCTGGCATCCACTGAGTGACCCATCTGTCCTGTGGAGGCTTGGCCACTTTAAAAAATGATGCTGTATACACCTGGTACCTTCAGTACTAGGTTGTTCTAAATTGTGGTGGATGGATGGAGATTCTCCTTGGCAGGAGGCCAGCAGACTTAATGTCTTGCCAAGACAAAGCACTCTGCTAATGAAGATGGTCAGTTCAGAATAGGACAGGAGAGCAGTTAAATCAGGATTATCACTGTGCAGGGCAACTTGCATAGAGGATTGAGAGCCCTGCAAATGTGTGAATTGCTTCAGCTGTTTTGCCAGAATGTTACCTTGAGAAGTTCCAATTGATCATGCGACTGTCTGTCACAGAACTTTGACCCTCTTCACCAAGGTAGAGCAGTCTTATTGGGTGGGTGGTGGTGAGAGCCAAAACTTATGTAGAGATTGATGTGGATTTATAATATACTTTATGACCCAGCAATGTGTGTCTCCTTTAGGTATTGGTATTCGGGAAGGGAAGATGGAAATCCCTTTCCATGTCCATAGTGAACTGGATGCTGTACGCAGTACAGGTGGTCAAAGAAGCATTGCAGCTTAGGGGAAATGAGATTTCTTTCACTGCAAAGGCGTTGGCTGCTTTTGGTGATGGTCGCACTGCCAACATTTTAAAGGAAGTGGAAGAACTGTGTGCATGGATAGGAATGTGTGTTACAGGGGTTGGCACCAGTGTCTTGTAGGTTGTGGGAAACACAAATACTTGTGCAGCATTCTATCAAAATCAATAGTGCAGGATACTGCAACTTTTCCTGCCCATACCAGAGCCCCATAAAAATAGAACATATTGTCTCGAAACCTCAAAATAATTCATCAGTTAACATTACAAACATGGTGCATGTGCAGAATTTTCTTGTTGAATAAACTGAACACAGACAGAAGCTAAACTTAATTTCTTTGTTGAATTATGCAACATGTAATAAAGCAGTACACCACAAATTAAAAGATACATACCGCGCTGCATCCTTGTGAGAGTTGAAGAATTGCAAGTTTTTGTTCTCTTCTTCATTTATACTGCAAGAAGCAATATAAAAATTGTAACATCATCACAGTACACTTAGAACTCCTTGACATTCTACAGACAATCTTTGGGTTAAACCGAAAATTGCAGAACATATCATAAAATAAATGTGGTTTAGATGACAGTTCATCGTCTGAAAGTATTATATATATTTATAATTTGATTCGTTGTAGTAAGAAAGACATTCATATGCACAAATAATATGTTTAACATGGAGATGAAATTATATTTAAGCATCCTGTTGCACTCCATACGATAAATGATATAAACTCCGTCTCAAGTGCAAACAATATATTTTGTGTCTTTTGATCTTGCTCCCTACACTACATGAGATGAAACTTCGTGCATAAATGTCTACTCATGTTTCACAACCACATGAAATCAAAATTAATACTTACCAACTTCCATACAACCATTTAATTGTGGGAATTCAAATGGGTTTGTTAAGGCTCTCTGATTTGTCAAGAGTTGTGTACAATTTCTGCCTCCTCACATGGTTACGACAGTTAAGACGACAACAAAACTGAAAGTGTAGAAGCTAAACTGGAAACCCTGATCACGAGTCTAATGCAGCTTTCACACTGATGAATCATTTTACTTTTCTTCAAATAAAATGATCTTCCTCACTACTAGTTCACCCAACTGCCACACAACACAAATCCCTAGGTATTTATTTTATTTTATTGCTAGTGGTGTGGGACTAAGTCCCTTGTACTGCAGCCACATCTGGCCTATTGTACCAGCCCCAGATGATAGGTGAAGGTGATTGTGAAGCAGTTGGTGGAATGAAGATTGGCAGGGGAAACCGAAGTACTCAGAGAAGACCTACCCCAGCCCCACTTTGTCCACCACAAATCCCACTTGACCAGACCCGGGATTGAACCCAGGCCGCCACGGTGGGAAGCCAACGACTAATCCCTACCTAAGGAACAAATCTAATAATGTTGGGCCTATCACACACAATGGGAGGGAGAAAAAAGCTGGAAGAGAAAACTGGCCAAGTACCACAATGAACAGGGATGAAACTTTCTAAATTTTTAGAAATGTGCGGCTACCTTTGAAGTCTTTCTTGTAATACTATCGCTTGCAGTTTCAGAATTACTAATATAATGGCAATAATTTCAAATTTAAAATGTCTAGATAACCAAAAGCGCGTGGGCTCTTGTAAATACAGATTGCGTAATAAGTAACAATTTCTTCGGTACTATAGCGAGTACTGTTACGTAACGCCTCACAGTCGGTCCGCGGTTACGTTACAGCAACGTCACCAGTTGACACGTGGAAGCCTGTGACGTGGCTGCGTTGCAGTGCTATATAAAGCGTTGGTCTGTGGCTCATAAGCTCATTAGCGCTCATTAGCCTCTTTAAGTTCAGTGATTAGCTGTGTGCGAAAGAAGCAGAGCAGAATCTGGAAGGAGTGGGCAGAAGAATGGACGAGTTTCGCAGTGAGCTGTGCAGTGGGATTGGAGGCATGAAGTACGGCGACCCACGTGATAGTGGGAAAGGAGTTATCCTCAGCCGTCGTCAGAAGAAGAAGCTCGCTCGTCAACGTAGGGAAAATCAAGATCAAGATGGCATCCCAGCAAACAACATGAGCAAGAGCGGAGCCAGGGGTTTACGGTCAGTCGATTCTGGACACGGGAAAATAAATGGACAAATTATCACCAGTGCCCCCGCACTACGCCTGCATTCCGAGATGAACATAACGAACAGAATCCTTTCGATATTTCTCAGTCCATATATCTTAAGTTCAAATCAGCTTCTACAGCTAGGCTACCCGGTCGAGAGTCGCGTACATCCTGGGAAAGCAGTTATCTACAAAGACCCTACTGTTTACGCACTCTTCCAACGGGGCACAACTTCCTCACGATTAAACGTCAATGCTACTGAATTCGTTCCTTTACGGCGGATGGAAAATTGCCAACAGGAATCCCATGCCATCACAACAACAAGAAAGACATCAAATATCATGGAAAACGAACATCGGCTATTAGAGAAAGCAGTAAGTGAAACTGAAGGCAATCAGAACAGTGATACGTTTAGTGCTAACCGTGGTGTCGCTGCATTTCCCTGTGATAAGAAACTCAGCTACGAACGCTACGAAGGAGGGCGGTGTGAAGGTACTAGAAGACCTAGCGGAGACAGGAGTGACAGGAGTGTGAAATTTCAAGGCGTGACGGAAGTGGAGGACAGTAAATCATCAAACGGTACCCTGAAGAGCGAGGGCGAAGGTCAACAGTTGAGTGATACTAGTGAGAAGAAGTGTGTCCGCTGTGGTCGTGGTTTCTATGTAACAATGGAGGGGAAATACGCGACTCAAGAAAAGTGTATTCATCATTGGGGCAAGATAGAGAACGCAGTGGCACCCCAGTTGCCCCAGCCCCACAAGGTCGGTGTCGTGGGTCCTGTGAGAACAATAAGACGTTACAGTTGCTGTGGAGGTAAACCAAATTCAGGTGGGTGTAGTGTGGGACAACTACATGTGTGGAATGGCTTCGGCCCCGGAGTGAACGACTCACTTGATGGTTATGTTCAAACTAGTGTTCGTAAGACATTTCCACCTGATGGGAATTTTGGTATCTATGCAGTAGACTGTGAGATGTGTTACACAGCACGTGGCACTGAACTAATTAGAGTGACTGTGGTGGCGTCTGACGGTAATCTCGTGTACGACAGGTTAGTGAAGCCAGAGAGCGACGTTATAGATTATAACACGAGGTTTTCAGGAATCACGGCACATGATCTCAATGAGAATGCCACAAAGTCATTACGGGATGTCCAGAACGATTTAATGGGCTTCATAAATGCAGACACTATACTTGTGGGTCATGGATTAGAGAATGACCTTCGTGCCCTGCGCATTATCCACGGCAGGGTCGTCGATACATCTGTAATATTTCCTCACTCTAACGGTCTTCCATATCGTCGGTCCCTGAAGACACTCGTAAGCGAGTTCTTGCAGAGAGATATTCAGCAGGATTCATCTGGACACTGCAGTTTTGAGGATGCAAGGGCCTGCATGGAACTGATGTTGTGGAGGATCAGAACAGATTTTGACTGCATTTTTCAAAGTGGTGTACAAAATTTTTTGCAGTTGCAGAATAAATTTGCATGTGTATGCTTTTAACAGATTTTGCCTTTTAATTATTCTGTTGTTTCTTAAACGAGTCCTGTTGTTCTAAGTTTATTCACCAAATTATGAATTTTGTCTGTTGTGAACTTTAATGTTAAAATTTTCGATGACATTTGCTAACATATCTGTATTTCACATAGGTGTGATGCAGAAATATGCGTTGCTCTAAAGTATGTAGAGCCCTGCCATGCAATGCCACACTGCTGACTAACTGTTAACTGGGAACAGATGGCTCATCATGCTGACAACTGTTGAAAAATCATAAACTCTCTTGTATGAATATAATATCATGCAGAGATCTACAAGTTATTTTCATTCATTGACAAATAAAAGGGATGTAACAAGGCTGCCTCATCATGCCGCTTTCAAATTCAGTATGACAAGACGATGATATAGACAAGGCAAAATATTTACAGCAGTTAAGATAGATGATAACTGTATCCTGTAGCAAAGAATATTGAAATTTTTGATGAAGTTTTATCACAGCCTAACTGATAATTTTCTGAATTAGGAGATCCCACTGATACATTTTTTATGTTTTATCATGACCAAATTGATGATGATGAATTTAGTGAGCTGATTGGCAGGTGATATATTTCTACATTCGGTGAACTCACAGTTCCTATGGGTTAGGTTGGTGTTTATAGATACTCTGAAAAGCTACTGGTTTCACTTCCGCTATATACATTACTCTTACTGATACAATTCACTGATGATAGTGATGATAGCCACAACACAACTCCACCCATGTGATGTGCATAAATATTACAGTATATAAAAATATGGGGTAAGCTACCAAAACTCAATATAAAATAGGCATAAATAAATCAAACCAAAGTAAATCTACCCCATTCTAAGTGTCTTGAAGTCTTGTTGCATGTGCATTGGACCATCAGATTGTCGCTGAGATTGTTTGTCAAGTCTGCAACCTCCATAAGGTAGGGAAGTCTGTTGTCTTTTGCAGGTTCCTGGGGCATCTCAGATCAGAAGTGAGGCTACCAGTGCCATTGCTAAGAAAGACATTTTCCATGGAGACCAGGTATCAGCTCAAGTCATGGGCAGTGGTGTCCATGCCTATCTTTGCACTGTTGAGCCTTCTAGGCAAGACAAGGGGACCGACACAAAGCAGCGGATTGTGAGCAGTGAGAGTGTGTTCAGGCATGGCAATCCTCAGCAGCATCAGAAGAGAGAAAGATATGGTCACATCTTCAGATTTGTCACGCTCGCTTAACAGGCAGACATTTGTTGTGTGGTAAGCAGTGTAGTGCAGTCCGTACTGTTTCTGATATATAATGAATGTCATACATTTCACTACATCCTTGACAGTGAACATGGTGGATTTTATGACAGTCTGGCATTCATAAACAGTATGGGTCTTGGAAAATATGAGGGCTGTTTGGAAGGTAGCATCTGGTGGGCTGTTGGCAAAGCAAGGAATTTGAAAGAATGTTATCTTATACATAATTAAAGGTGCTCCCTCTACATCATTGCCCCCGGAATTGGAGTCCTAGTGGTAATAGGGATTGGCTTTTTCTTTTGGCTGTTTTGGGGGAGGTCTGCTGCCTGTGAGCTCAGCCACCTGTTGACATGTTCCATCAGCTTCTCATTATGGCTGAAGCACTGTGATCTCACCTAGTTCTTCGGATAGATGAACAGGTGGTAGGTGCTTTGATTGAGATTGGGGCTGTAAAGAGGGTGGTCAAACAATTCCCATTCAAAATGCTCCATAAGTGCTAGAATGTGAGCAGTGTGTGTGCGTGTCTGTTATCATGGAGAAGCACTACACCGGATGTCATTCAGTGCACTTTGTTTTGAAAGGCCTTGTGCAGTTTTTTAGAGTTTCGTAATACAAAATGTGACTGAGCTCCCAGGCAGCGGATGTCTGTAATCATTTTTTTATTCATTGCTTGTTTTGTTGGCAGGTCACAGGAGGTTATTTTCCAAATAGCCCTTGCATTTACAGGGGTACATGTTAGCGTACTTGGTTGAGGCACTATGCTACAAGCCAGAAAGTTTCGGGGTCGAGTCTCAATGTGGTGGACTTTGTCAATTGGCCTAATCCTTCTAGCTGCAATATGGGCCTGTCTCTGACTCAACCTCTAACAGAAATGTGTACCAGGAATATTCCAGGGGGCTGAAGGGTGGCCGGCGTGTAAGGTTGACAACCTTACCGCCGTCTTTGAGCCAATGATCTAGATCAGTGGTTCTGAACCTTTATGAGACCGTGGCCCAGTAAGTTCTTTTCTTATAAGACGAGGGCCCAGTCCCAACAAATTTACTCGTAAATACCTTTCCAGTTTTGTTAAAGTTCATGCATTAAGCTAACATAATATTAGTAATTAATTATAGCATAATCATAAAGAGTATTAGTACACTTATGTATACAGTGTCGCATGTTGACAAACATAAAATTACATTTAAATTAGTTATCAATCACTGGACTAATGAAATCTTGTAGCATTTTGTAGTTTCCTCAGACCAACATCATTAAATTAATTTGTGCTAATTTTCATTGACATATCCCACGCTGATCACCAAAAACTTGTGTTATTCAGCTTAAATTGATTATTGTATTATTAAATTGAGTTTAACGATGTTGGTTTGAAAAAAAACTGTAGTGAGAAAAATATTTATGCATTGTAACTCACCATAGAAGTCAGCTGAGTAGGGGAAGAAGCAGAAGGATGTCAACTTGCGAAGAAACAGTATTCAGTATTATTAGATTTGAGAACTGGATACAGACTGCCTTAATCTTCAATTTCAGTGGAAACATTTTCTTTATACTTCCATGCTGATTGGTCACTGACATTTGCAACTGAGATGTTATTTCGCGCAGTTCTGAGAATAGAGGATATGCCACCCATTGTTGTAAGTGGTTTGCAGGCAATTTTTATGACTGGTCGTAAACATCAGTATTGCCTTTCCCGAATGTTGAAAGATTTGGATGTCTGAAAATTCCCTATCCCTTACGCATCATAGTTTGCAAATTTTCAAGTGTTAATATTTGTGCATCATGAGCCGAAAGACCATTTATAGCAGGATAAACTTGGAAATTGATATGAATACTCTGTCTGTGAAAAAGTTATCAGTGAGATAGAGGTTCAACTTGTTCATTTTGTAAAGTCAATTATCTGTACTAAATTATATGTATATAATAAGCGTACATGTTACATAATAAACCGGATGATATTCCTGTCTGGAGCCCTAGAGAAACATAAATTACATAGTTTCATCTTATTTATAATACTCTTTAGAGGTTCAATTTTCATTTCTCAATACTTAAATCAGATAGGCCCAGCCCTTGATATAATATATAGTCTTTTTCTAAAATACAAACTCCAACATTCCTAAATATACTCTGTGACAATTCAGTAGCTGATTATGTTGAGTTTCTTTCTGTAAATCTTAAGCAATCCTTAAATCCTTAGCTACATTACAAGTCATAAGTTCAATTCATTGTACTGACAGTTTTAGCTTAAAAATTTATATAACATACTTTTTACATCGTCTCTGTTTACAGTGAAGTACTCTTCTATAGTGTAACCGTACGCACTCTTCACAGATAAGTCTTATTTGTTTGTAAGTAATGATAAAGTTTAGCTGTGGAAATGAGATGCCCCGGAGGGATCATGGTTCTGTGAACTGGCCTTTTGTCACAAGGGACAGAAGGGAGGTTGGTGAGTCCATTGCATTCAAGGGGGGGGGTAGGTATACCTTCTTTCGTCCGTGCCTGTGGGGGTGGAGGAGCTGTGGATAGAAGCTTTGAGGTGTGCAGACCGGAAGGGGTACATGCGTTTGGTCATGAAGCCCTCCCAGTGGAAGGTTTGAGATCGCAGTAAGAATGTGGTTTCGAAAAGCAGCAGCGGGGGTAATAGAGTAGTGAGGGAGTAGAAGTCAAGCAGTGGGTGAGTAGAAACCAGGGAGTGAGGGTGTTCATGTGGAACCTGTGCTGAGGGATTAACCGATCGACCCCGCATCCAAAATGACGTAAGCGAGCCAACACCCGTGTACCCCTGGGATACAAGAGTCATACCGCTGAATTTAGTCGAGGCACTACCCCGTGAGGAAGTAAAGCATGTGGGGCGGGTGTAATAGTGTATAAGGAACTAGCAGATAATTCTTTAGCACTAATTTAAACTTTTTAGTATCGTTCCTTCCGTTTTGTTACTATGTGGCAGATTATTGGACTTTTTTATGCGAGTAGACCCCTTTTTGATATAGTGATAAGTCTGATGAAGGTAGGTGAAAGTTATATTTTTGTCTGGTATTCATGTTATAAAAGGTAAACCTATCCCTGTAACAGGCTGTGAAGGCTCATGGGGTTCTCAGCCTTACACACAGGCCGGCTGCCCTTTACCCCCACGAAGATTGCTGGTACTTATTTCTGTTAGAGGCTGAGTTGACCACAGGGAAATAGTGCAGCTGTAAGGATTATGAAAATTAAAAGAATCCCATTGTTTCATCAGAAATCAAACCCGCGACTTTCCAGCTTGTAGCATAGTGCCTCAAACCAACTGTGCTACCATGTGCCCTACAGTATTCATGTTATAGACATCTATATTTAATATTAATTGATCCTTGTAAATAAGGAACATGAGAAGCAATAATATGTATTGCAATTGGAATGGAAGACTGTTTAAGTACTTAAATAAATCTCTGCATGAATCTCTACTTCTGCATCCTGTAATAATTCTAGTCATATTCTTTTAACTTAAAAGATGTTTGTATTGTGTGTAGAATTTCTCCAGAATATCAATTGATAGCTTATAACGGAATGAAAGTAAGCATGGTAAACTATCATCAGTGTTTCCTGTGAAATAAGAGGCTGAACAGATCTGACTGCATAGCAAGCTGAACTCAGTTTAGGTACAAGTTGCTCAATATGTATTTTGCAGGACAGTGTACTCTCTAAATGTATTCGAAGGAATTTTATGTCACATTCTTTAGAGATTAATTTATTGACATAACTGATGACAAGATGAAATTGGTGGCTGTTTTTGGTTGGTAATTGTATGTAAA